TTGCAACATACATACATACATACATACATATATATATAAAATACTACCTCCACTATTAAACATAAGAACTAATTAAAGATTCAATTTGATCATAAATATAACACCCCAATATATTTTGTCTCTCAAATTTATCCATTTTCTTTCAAAGTAATTCTCATAGTAATTATATTACACATATTAAATGATTTTCATTTTAACATGCATGACTAACAAGGATATTTTAAGAAAAATAATACATATTTATTACAAATTACAAATAACTAAATTAATTAATTTTTTAATATTTAAAAATTAATTATCCAGTTCTTATATTAAAAACGGGAGTTAGTACAAAATAAAGAAGATGCTTTTTAGAAACAAAATAATTGAAAAAATCTATTTATTGTCAGGATAATAAAAATTATTATACTCATAATTATCCATATATAAAATATCATATATATGAGGGTTATTAATTTCTTGATGTGAAAGCAGCTGCTGTACATTTTATTTTTAACATCTTTTATCAGCCTCAAAATACTTTTTTTGCTTTGAAAATAAAAATTCCTCCTGTTTTATTTTAATGATAAAACCAAAGAAATAAATATGTTGTTGTATTTTCTCTGGCTGATGAGTTATCGCTGGGGAATGTTTCAGCAATCACTGTCCCATGAGGCGTTGAGGTGGAAATGCTGCCTTGTGGACTCTATGGAGAATAAAGGCCTTCCTCTTGTAACCCAATAAACCTATTTTTCACTTTAAGTTTTAAACAAAATAAATAAAGTTTAATTACACTTGTGTGTTGCCCACTAAAAAATATATATGCACACTTGTATATGAAGCTATTTTATGAAGGAAGCACCTTTGTGTGTAATTGTATTTCTGGCTCATTTTATACATACATACATATATATATATATAGGAATTTTCGATCCCCACCCTCGTTTTTACAGATTATGATAATTTGACTAGTGGACCTTCACCTACACTCGTACCCACCTCTGTATTGAGCTAATCTCAATCTAACTCTTATCTTTTAAACCTTAAGGGGTTGGGTTCTTAAAAAAAAACCTAGTCTGTCATGATATAGTGAACTAAGTTTCAAAGCTCAGATAAGAAAAGTGTCTATATTTAGTACTTAACAATATCTTAATAAGATACATATGCATAGCAAAAAGAAAAAAAAACTCTAATAGGGAATATTAAAGGGTTACATATGAAATAATTAAATTGAAAACAACAGTAAGTTGGCAGGGGAAAATTGAATAAAAAATCTAGAGACTCCAATCATGAAACACTTTCAATCTTTCATGGATTAATAACCAACATAAGGGGATGGGCCCACATGCATAGTGGCCCATTAGTTTTCCAGGCCCACTTTACATTATTCTGGCCCATAAATTTAATTATTTTGCTTTTATGCAAAAAAAAAGGGAAAACCAGATAAAATGGCCTTGCGGGCTTGGGTTCTTCAATGACCTATGAATATCACGACTAGGTTCAATCCAACGGACATTTAACATTTCTTTCAACAATCTTTTTTTTTTTTGAATGAAAAAGGTTACAAAACTAAACAAAACACTCAGCCCAGGTGAACAAGAGCCAAGGGTGACTACTATGACTATCCCTCACCTCCGTCCAACTCAACGCCAAGAGTGGGAGGGTGGTCAAGGATACAAAAATTCTTATCCATCCTATGAGACAACTTTGCTAAAGCATCAGCAAAGGGAATTAACTCTCTATCTACTGGACAGAAAACAACCTGCCAGTCTCTATGAATAATGATCCTAATATCATCAATCAAGTCTTTAAAGGGATAGTCCTCTTCACATCCTCTTGTAACCAGATTAATTGCCTCTATGCAATCCGATAACAAGCAGATCCTCCTGAAACCTTTCCTCCAGCAGAGATTTAGACCATGTAGCATGCCCATAACAATCTTATATATTAAAACCACTGTAAGGCCATTGTATCCAAAAATAAAAATCGACGGTACCAATATATATATATATATATATATATTAAAACCAAGATATTAAAAACTGGATTGGTCATTAAACTAGTCAAGATAGTGGACCAAATAGGAGTCAGCCTGAGATCAAACTGGTAAGAAATAAAAAAAAATAAAAAATCATTTAAATTTTCATTAAGAACTAAATACTACTTCCAGTTTTTAATTTGAGTAAATTAAAAAACTAGTTAAGTTAATTATTTATAATAAATATGTGTTATTTTTTCTAAAATGTCTTTACTAATCAAATGTATTGGCCAAAATTATCATTATTATAAGGACTACTTTGGAAAAAAAAAAGATAAACATGAGAGACAAAGTGAATTAGGGTCTTATATTTAAAATCAAAATAAAAGTCAAACGAGCTCTTATATTCAGAATTAGAGGTAGTATAAATTTAATATCTTAAATCATTAATAAAATAATCATATAATTATAATTTCTATCCAACTCTTTTGAAATTCCTTTGACAAATTAAACTCATAATATCATACTACTAAAATTACTAAATATTTATCCCAACAAAATATCAAAATAGATATATAATAACAAAATATTCCTTTCTACAGTCATTCAATCACTAAATCCTAAGTATCAACAGCTTTTTAAAAACATCACCAAAATTAGTTTTTCTTAAAAAGAAAAAAGGCTAGTTTAACTGACCACACTGGTTGTGTTACCCAGGTTATTACCAGGTTATTTGATTTAGATCACATTGAGTCAATTCAACCCATTTTCAATGCTTATCCATGTCAGTTACCACGCCAGTTCGTTAGTTTTGAGACTGAACCGACAGTTTAGTCTAGGTATCAATACTATGATTAAAACCAATTCAGATTTGAATCTATCAAAATAAACTAGTTAGTCACAACGTAGTGAACCAAAAATATCCACTGGAAGAGATAATCACATTTAGTACCAAATAGTATCTCAAACAAGATTACATTTAATAATAGAAGGATACTTGTGCCTGGTAATATATATACATATGAAAAAAGAAAAGATTCGAATTACAGAGATGTCATATTTAGTGCCCAACAATTCATCTAATAAGACAATATCCAAGGTACTGAAAAATCAGACCGATTGAGACAGTGGGTCAAGGGTCAGTGGGTTAAACCGAAGTCAACCTAGGGTCAAACCGATAAGAAATAAAAAAGTTAAAAAATAATTTACCTTTTCATCATACTATTTAAGGACTAAATATTAATTCATTACCTTGAATGACAAACAAGATAATCATATACTTATAATTTCTTTCCAATGTTTTTTTACAATTCCTTTGACAAATTGACACATAGTACCATATTAAAAAATCACTATACATTAATCCTAACAAAATATTAAAATTGATATATGATAACAAAATATTCTTACTTCCAATCTATTAATCAATAAACTAATAATTATCAATAGCTTAAGAAAGAAGAAAAAGTTTTTGGCTCAAAATAGCTTTTATAAAATAATAAAATAAAAAGCAACCTGGTTAACCTACCAAACCAAGCAAGTTAATTGGGTTGCCCTGGTTTACACTAAGTCACCTCCGGTCAATTTGATCTTGGTTTACATACTCAACCAGACCAGATAGTGAGCTTTGAGCAGAACCAGTTGGTCCAGTTCGGGTTTGCATACTATGAGGATATTTGTGCTTATCAACAAGAAAAAAGAAAAGGAGTTTTCCATATTTTGCAAATATCTAAATTTTACATAAATCAAGTTTAGGATGTCGTAATTAAAATTCACTATGTCTAGCAGCACGGGTATTTGTTTAAAAAAAAAAAACCAGTGGTATTCTTTGATCAAACCTAAATAAAGTGGTATATAATTAATAATCAAAGTTTAAAAGTTTGATGTAACCCAAAAAGAAATTTAAAGTTTGAAAAATGTAGATACTAAAGTAGTATTTCAATTTCAAATTTATTGGGAACGAAAAGAAACTTAATGATGTTACTATAATTATGTTATTGAGATTGACCTTTTGGTTAACAATTCATTTAAGGATATAATTCTTTAAAAAGTGCACGAGCACCATATAAATCATGCACCTGATCTCATTTAATGGGATAACGCCACTTATTGCTGCTGCTGTGTTTAGGACCGGAGGAGTACCATATCAAATTTAAAATATTGCAAAATTAAGTTGATAGAAAAGATTATAAGAAAGGAAAAACACTTTGATAATTGGATTCATTTAACATAAGAAACTTATTTCAAATCAGATCAATACATGTAAATTTTTTTATATATTAAGCCAGGGGCTTTACTATTATTAATATCTTAAAATCTACATGTTCTGATTTTGATTAGACAAAAACAAATTAAGCCAGGAGCTTTATTTTGGCGGAACAAATAAAAGTGACTCCCTTTAAATAAAATTGTCCTAAGATGTTCAACTTTTTTTCTTCTTTTATTAAAGATGAAATATTGTTCTAAATAATAATAAAACGGGACAACAAAAACAACATGAACAGTAGTAATATTTCATTATTTGTTATTACTTATTCCTCTGGTTATTCATATAAAACTCATTTTGTAATGTAAATTATATTACAAAATGGGTCTTATATTTAGACCGAAGGAAGTATTACACATCTTTTATATATTACATGTCTTTTATATAAATAAATATATATGTATATAATATTGGGAATGCCAACTCAAGAGATCCCAAAACTGCACACTGGATCCTGCTGTCCCATGTAGAGCCACAAACTGCACTCACAATCTCAACCATCAAAGCTAACTTACAGAATCCAAAATATTGGAAGTAAGACAGCCGAGACTAGTTCAAGTGGCAGGTTCTGAGATAAAAACAATTGAGACGTTTCCAGCAAGGTAGGTTAATAATTCATCTTTCTTTCAAAAGCTCATCTTCCAACCGTATGGCCTTTATTAGCAAGGTGTAATATCTGGAGCTTGTTCTTTTATTGAATTTGGATTCAAAAGTTAGTGGAATAAATGTCTCTTATTTTTTACTCAAATAAACATAATAAAAATCAATCGACGATAATATCGATAACAAACCTTATCTTTTTCCTATTAGGTACGGTTAGGGTCAGTTACATGAATCGCACAGCTGCTCTATAAACACTACAGAAAAATGCCAACAGCATATAAAATATATTACAAAAGGCATTACCTTTGTCTATCTTTCCTCAGGAATCAGTACAACCAATTCCGCCATGAAGGAAATGAGGAAGAAAATAATCTTTTCCCCAGTAGTTTAAATGGGGAAAAATGATTGCACTGAAAAAGTGAATAATAAGCAGCAGAAATATGTAGTCATGAGTATAGGAATTCATATTCATATATAATTAAAGCAGCAACAATAAAGAGAGAATCAGAAAGATTGCTTCTTCTTCTCTTTCACTCTCACAGTCACTTTTTCCCTCCCTTGTTTTTCCCCACTTCTCCATGTGGTGTTCACCAAATAATAAGAGCAGTCCTAAACTGGTTATGGAAAAATAGTCATTACCATATGGACAAAACTCTTTCATACAAACAATAAAAAGAGCAAAAACCAAAAGAAAACCTGATCAGTGCTTCTTCCTCTATTTTTTTTTTTTTTCCTTTTTCCATTTTGGGCTCTAGATTTTTCCATTTTACTTCCTAGGTCTCCATGCTGATACTGAAAAAAGTGACCTATCCTGCCAGCAAATAACAACACAGCCATTTTCCTCCCTCATTTTGTATCCCTCACAGCCATAGCTCTGTAGTAATCTCCTTGCTTGTAACATCCCATAATAGCTTAAAGGCACATTCCCAAACCCGGCAAGATCAAGCCTCTGTAGCCACTTATCAAGCTTTTCATGCCTTTCCTTTCTTTCAGCTCCCTCACACGCAACAATGTTCTTGATTTCCTCACCGAAAAGCATCTTCTCCACCTTTAATCTCTCCATTGATGTTCTTGAGACTGTGGATTCCAAACAATCAAACAACGCTGCGTAAGAGTACAGAGCTTCTAATACCCTCTCCATTAGAGTTGAACCATTGTGATTAGAGTCTTGTTCTGTCACAACCATGACTTTGGGAGACAAACCCCACAAGGCATTGAGAAAGCTCTCCATGCTCATTGAAGCAATTGACGATGCTGGGGATGATGAGGTCGAGTCAGGACTTGGGCTGTACCTATTATTGATCATATCCTTCTCAAGCAAATCACCTAATGAGCTCTGATTCATTGGCACGGCTCTTTGTAGATGACTTCCATTTGAGCATTTTGTTAGGAGAGGAGGTCTTCTGCGCAATTCATCATCCAATGTCAAAAGCGAATGTAATTGGACAATCGAACTGATTGCTAGTGCTTCTCCAGTCTTCACACGGAGTTTGTCAAAATCAAGATTCTCTAACTTGCTCACAACAGGATTGAACTGGAATGGGATGTCCAACTTTTCTGCTTCTTCAATCAGCCTATGAGCCATCTGATCCAGAATCTCTTTCTGTTGATGAACCCCAGTAATTCTCAAGTGAGGAGGGCCTTCAGGCCGAGCACTCAAAACTTGGAGGAGTGCAATCCACTGTGCAGGTTCAGCAGCATTGAGATCAATTATATGAACCATCTTCTCTCCTTCCATTGCTTCCATGATAGCCTGATTTGTGAGCACGAACGCCACCTTCAAGAATGGGAACAGCTCAAAAAACAGCTTCCGGACCAGAATTTCTTCGGAAACCATGACTATTCTAGTAGAATTGAGGGCCTTGTGGAGACCAGGCCATGTTTTAAGTATCCGATCAGCAAGTGCTTCAGTAAAATAGGCAGCAATTCGCTGCATAGTATCACCATCCGGGGAAGCAAGATGGGAAATTTGTTCGAGAGCCATATTTGCATTTTCAAGACTACCAGAAGCTACATGATTTGTACAAGTCAGCAACAAATGGATTAAGTACAAGCCCCTTTCCTCTGATTTAAGCTCTCTAAGCCAAGGGTATGGAGATCCTAAGCTAGGTGAAAGTGACATCATAGAGAAGAACTGAAAAGGTGATGAAGTTACAGAAGATGACCCTTCATCTTGAAACATAGATCTTATTTGACAACAAGAACAGTCTTATTTGACAGAGTCAATGATAAGTTGGATTGATTACAAACTCTAGGATCTATTCAAATAACTCAAGGATAACCAGAGATAAATTTGAAGAAATGCACAGAATATACCTATGCAAAAGGAATGACAAAGAAAACACGAATCCAAAGCACGAGGTCTGGATAAGGAGGAACTCAGTAATAAAATCAATGCTGCGGATCCCACACGCAAGGCAGAGAAAGACAATTCCTAAATAAAAACAAGAAATAATAGACTTCAAGTGTGAGCGAGCACAACCCGAACAAACCAACCCAAAAAAAAAAAAGTATGGTCAGAAAAACTCAAGCTTCGTCTCACAAGCACATATGGGAATAAAAAATTTCCATCAATCCAGCAGAAATTCACAGTAAGAGACGAAAGCGAACCCTACCGGAGGAGGAGGAGCATCAGAGAACTGAGGGCGAGAATTGGTGAATCGAAGGAGAGAATCGGAAACCCGCGAGTGGGCTTTGAAATTGGGGCAAAACCCAGAAGAATCCCTATGAAAAACAGGAAGAGGAAGGTGTAGAAACTGAATCTCGGCAAAGCCGAACCGAAAGGGGGTGGGTTTTAGCAGACTAACAGCGAAGCTTGTTCTCGTGTGGGAGTGAAATTCAATGTTTGGACTAAAAGTTTCGGTTTCAAGGACTTCTTCATGGCTACGTTGTCGACAATGCGTGACGGGCCCCTTTGTCGTTAGTGTTTTGTTGTCCTTCCCTCCTCTCAGTGGACAATGGAATTTCTGAGAAGACGAGCCTAAGCCTATCGCTTCTTGTTCTCTCTCTCTCTCTCTCTCTCTCTCTCTGTCTGCGAAACTACTCTTATTTGATCATTTTATTAATAAAAATAAAAATAAATAAAATAAAATATACTTTAGGAATTAATTGAAGCTGCTAAGAATTTAGTGGTTTCTTTTTCCTGAAACGGATTTTCTTTTCTTTTTTTATTATTTCTTATTACAACCTTAAATTATGACCATCAATATATCAATATAATTTGTAAAATCTAATCTTTTTGCAATTACGAAAGGTCTATTGTTTAAGTTTAATTTAAATTAAATTATTTTCATATTACTTAAAATAAATATAATAATAAATCACTTTGGAAAGATGAGGTAAATTTAAGTCAAATTGCACCAAATTGATAAGAACATAAAATTGACTATTTTTTTTTAAAAGTTGATCAGATCAATTCAATTTGATTCTAACCTAAAAATTAAACTTTATTGATATTAACAGCTTGTAGTTGGAAAACAATCCTATGGGCCATATTATGCTCTCTCTTTTCCCTCCTTTTATCACAGAAGAGAATCTTATTCTACGCCAAATAGGATCTAGGCAGAATTTTCAAATTTATGAAGAGGCATAAAATAAAGCAAGCATGGGTCAAATGGAAGGAAAAATGCTAGTTGAGAAATTAATTGGCAAATAATTTTGAAGGATTTAATGTAACTCAATTTTTATTTTGTGTAACTTAATTATCTTTATACGCTACTTAAAATTCTCTCGATGCTAATAAAACTAAATAAAAAATTCTTTTTTTACAAAATTACATTAAGAGAGTTGCTCTTGTTTTTTTAAACTAGAATTGTCTAATAATAATATCATCCCAAATCCTTAATATGAGAATTACTTAATTAATTTTTGACAGATCAATAAAGGTAGATAAATTAATTAATTATAACAGACATAACAGTATTTTCTTGAAATATTAGTATGCGACATTAGATTATATATTAGTTATAAGTTATTACTTGTTAGATAAATTAGTTTTGAAAAAAATATAAATATAAAAGACAGAGTAAATTAAATTTGAGTATTTATCACTAAATTTAACCTCTCACCTAACTTTTGCATCAAGTTTAGGGGTGAGTAATAAAGAAATATTTAAAAAGTTAGATAAATTATTTCACTGTAACATATGCAACATAGTTTTCATAAAATAGCCTTATATAATATTAGATTATATATATCAGTTGATAAGTTAGATAAATTATATTAAAAAATAATAAATATGAGAAAAAAGTATATTTAAAATTTTATGTTTAGGATAAAATGTAGTTCTCAATAAATCATATATACATATTAAGAATGAGAGAAAATAATAAATAAAGAAAAAAGAGAAATGTGATAAAGTAGTGATTGAGTATGATAATGGGGGGAAGGAAGGGAGGGACGGATGCTGTCAGGAAGCAGGGTGGATAGGGAATCCAGCCAAAGAGGAAGAAAGAAGTAAACAAGAAAAATATTCGGCGAGGGAAAGAAAAAGACAAACGAGAGGTAACAAAGACAAACAAACATTGGGGTCAGGTTTGTTTGGTAGTGAGGGAAAGGGAAAGAAAAGGGAATTATAATCCAAAATAAGGATTTGTTTGTATGTGGTAAAGCAAGTGTCCATACAAATTGGTGTTATTATCTTTACTTCCCTCTCCTTCTCTTTCTCTCTCCCTATTAAGACAACCACACCACCTACTTTTGCTTCCTTCCAAGACTGGTTTGTACCTTTATCTCTTCTTCTGCTCTCCGACGTGGCAGCGCCCTCCCTTCTTCTAAACCCTAGGCTTCCACCCCTAATTATTCTTTCCAATTTTCTCTTAAATTTAGTCACACAAAAAAACAAAATGTTCAAATACTACTTCTGGTCCTAATTATAAAAGTCAGTTAACTAATTTGAAAAAATTAAAAAAATAAATTGAGTTAGTTATTTGTCCTAAATATGTGTTGACTTTCCTAAAATATCCTTACTAATCAAATGTATTGGCTAAAACTATAATTATTAGAATGACTATTTTAGAAAAAAAATTGAGTAAATATGATAGATAAAATAAATTAGAGTCTTATACTTAGAACCAAAATAAAAATCAAATATGATTTTATATTAACGACCGGAGGTAGTACTTTATTAATCAAAGGGTAATTATTTTTTAACTGTGTGCGATTCGTCTCCATTATGTGCAAAGGTCTTTGATCATAAATCATTTGTATTTAACTAAAGATATATTGCATCTAGTTAGAAAAGAATTGTGCCTATTAAATATGAATTGCGCCTGCTTAAATATAGGTTTTTTTAGTCAATAAATTTTCTAAACAAGTACTTTTAATTATTTTTCTATTTTTTATTATAACTAATATGATGTCATATTTTAGGACACATTTGGTTAGATCTTTTAGAAAATAAAAGATACATTGGTGAGAAACAACAGACGGCCTTTTTAATTTTAAGGGATGTCTCTTCAGTTTCAAATGATCTTTTGTAAGCTTTTAGTAGTCATGTCACAATAACAAGAGCCAAAAAAATTAGGTAAACAGAAAAAAGGCTAATGCAAAAAACTTTGATAAAGGAAACGGTAATTAGATCGGCAAATCTGAATAAAAATTTTAATTTAAAGACTTGGACTACACATGTGAAGACTTATTTGGACTCAAGTCACTTAATTGTAGAGTTAGATAGTATTTAGACAGAAATCAAATCATAATTTTTAAAATAATTTTATGATATATGAAATAAATATGTAAGATGATTTTATTACGATTTGCGTAAATTTTTTTTAAAAAAACACTTTCAAAAGAAACCAAACATACCTTAATATAATGACTATATCTACTAATTGTATTTCTCTAAAAATTACTAATTAGTTGGTATATATCATATTTTTTACTTCCCAAGTCATCGAATTAAGTCTTAGTTATTTATTAGTCAATATAAAAATTAAATAAACACATTATGAAAATAACAAAATCTTGTTGTCTATAAATTATGAATAGTGTGATTCATCTTATAAGTACAAATGATCCATTATAGTTGCACTTGATAAGATAATTAAAATGAAAATGTTTGAAAAAAATACTTAATTTAATATATATATTTTGGACAATAATATAGATGTCATATGACAAATCTTATGTTTAATTATTAAAAAAATGGCATAATGACAAGTTGAATAGGATTCCTAGGATAAATTGCCTTGTTAATTATTAAAAAACTTGCAAAGTGACAAGATAATGGTAGCTTGCCAGAGAGGTTAGCATATGTTTCTGGCTTTTCTTCACAGAGTTTACCAACTTTTTTGTTTCTTTTTCCTCTCCTTTAACTTATTATACCCAATTTTAATATAGATTCCGAGATATTATTCCAATCTAAATTTCATAAAATATTTATTTAATAAAAGGTTACTCATTTTCACATATCGGACAAGATTAACGTTGTTTGTCTGGGCAATTGGCTCTTTGCGTATCAATTTGGACACTTGATCTATCATCAAAGCAAACCAACAAGAAAGGGAGTAAACTTCTTCATGAAAATACAACTTTTACTCTCTTGCGTGTAATATATTTTTAATTATATGTAAATATTTTTTATTTTACACATAATTAAAGATATGTTATATATAGTTGAAAAAAAAAGTTGCACCTAGATCTTTAAACAATTTTAGATATTGATACACAATTAATTTTCTAATAAGAAAAATTTCACCAATTTTGTTTTAAAAAATTGAGCTTTCAAATTTATTGAACTAAAAAAAATTCTAAAAAATATGTTGGTTTGAACATTACATCGTAAAATAAAAAATAAAAAAGAAAGAAATTGAGACAAATATATATATTTGCACATGTAAGACAAATTAAGATCTTTTCATATACAAGAAAAGAATCTTTAAGTTAAAACAAATACAGGGATATGAGACCTGATTAAAGAAATGATTGTGATATTAGAATTAAAAAAAACTGGCCATACTGCTTGAAAAAAGTTGATGTTTTATGAGGAAAATAATTAAAAAATGGTAAAATAATAGAAGTGAAATGGTAAAGTGGAAAATGGAAGATGGTGGGATATCACATGAAGAAGAGATGTTTGTCACATAGCTCTCATCCCTTCCATGTTGACTTATGTGTTTAGCAACTTTCACTTTGTACATTATCATCTCACTTCCTCTCTCTTACACTCCACCTCCTCCTTTCACTTTATTATTCATCCTCCCACAATAAATAAATTTAATATGTTATGCCGGCATCCCTTTGTTCGCTCCACTTTTTTTTTTTTAAAAAAATATTATTACTCTCTCTAATTTTAAATATAAGAGTTATTAGACGGTATGTTTTTATCTTAAAATATAAGACATTAATTCACTTTGTTTCTCAAATTTATATTAATTATATGTATTAAAGAGGATTTCCATCAATGAGGCTAAATATTACATGGGGTATTTTAGGAAACTAATATACTTTTGTGGTTATATTTATAAATCACTTTCAATATATTTCACACACTAAAAATCTTAAACTCTACTAACTTTGCATTAAACTTTAACGACTTTTCAATTTTGTCCTTATTTAATATACATTATACTTTATGAAAATAGAATCCATATAATTATAAAGGGATGGTAAAATTGTATATTTATAGGAAACATTTCTCTCTCTGCCTTGTAATTATAAACAGAACGAAAAAAGCTTTTTCTCTCTATCTTATAAATAGTATAGATAAGTAGATTTGTTACAAATAACTAACTTAAATTTATGCATTAATAAGAAAAAATTTATTGGTCTTTTTAAAATCGAGCTATTTAAGGGGTTTATTTTTATCCTAAACATAGGACTTTGATTTATTTTGTCTCCCAAATTTATAATTTTTTTTAAAGTTATCCTTATTGATTTTCTATAATGAGGATAATGATTAAATGGGATACTACCTCCAGTCCTAAATATAACTTATATTTAAGAATAGAAGTATTATATTAGAAAAGATAATACATACTTGTTTAATTTAA